ATCGGTTAGGGAGTTGGTGAAGGGATACCTTGAGATAGGGTCTAGGCTCTGAACCATAAAGTTTGTGAACTAATATCAGCTCAGATGTCTTCCTGGAGAAGTAGTACAGGGTTAGGTGAACTTTGGTAAAAAAGGATAGAATACGAATAAGTATCATAGGGCCAGAGAGTTTAAATAGGTAATCTTAAAATAGATTTCAGGTATGGCAGCTAGTGTAGAACCTTCAGGTAGACTACTTAAATTAGACAATCTAAAGTTGTACATGTAGCTAGTTGTACTCTCACAATATGTAACATTTACTCACTATTAATACTAATAAAAGTTTCAGCTGATGGTATTTGTATAAAGTAAAAAAAAAAAAAAAGTTCTAAAGTAAACTGATTGTAAAGAAATTTGTTTGCACAAATATCTAATACAAAGTTTCTACTCAGTGGATCTCTGATCTCTAAATCTTTGTCATATTCTACTTGAATATTTAAATTTGCAGATAATGCTTTTAATACCAAGAGAACAGGTACATAATTCTATTTATTTAAGCTTAGAAAGTTATATGAACAAGTATTAACTAGCTGAGATATAACTTACTCTAGTTTTGAATATTTAGTTTTAACTATAAGTGATATATTTAATGGTAATGTAGTAACTATATAAATAATTGATGTTAATAGAATATTGATCTGTGAAGACTACTTTGTATTGTAGTATTTCATGTTGTTGTTGAATGTAAAAATTTGCATAAAGAAAGTATTTGATTTGTATTAATATTCTTTTTTGTAATAATTGAAATCTCAACTCTGTTTTATAGAAAGTTTTCTTTTATTAATAGTTCCCAGTGTAGTTTTGGGATTATTTTAAATATACAAAGAGGTTTGAATTATAGTATCTGTTGTAGAGTTCTCTTATTGTTTCTGTTTTTAGTCATTCTTAGTATATTTTGTATATCTAACAGATTGGTATGTATTTAAGTTTGCTATCTACTTGTAACTTAAATACTTTAGTTTGATTTAATAATATTGTAAAGTAGCATTCTTTTCTTTTGAGATTATGGTCTTTTAGTTTACAACCTTTATAAGCTGTTACACTATTGTTTTGTTGTAATATGTAATGTTGGATTAGAGGCTAATTAGTTTTAGAATTGATATGATCTATAGTTAAATTATTTGTAATAATCTATTTGGCTTTAAATAGCTCTACTTCATAGAGTGTAAATAAATTAGAGGTTATGTAGTCTATTGAAGGATTTGCTAACTCAGTAATTAGATTACTAATTCTTGAGAACTATTTGGGAGCTAGACCTCATAGAATTTTTTATATATTGTGATGAAAGCTTATCTATTCAAGTAGATTTAGATTATCTGAACTTAAAAACTGCTCAATACAAGATATATTATATATGTTCAGTTGTTCTTTAAGTTTGCATACATCCAAGGTTCCTGCAAATATATAATCAATTAATATACCTAAAAGATTAATTAGAAGAGGCTAATTGTTAAGTTCATAATTAATTTGTAGGTTGAGTTCATGAAGTGTGACTATAGCTTGTTCAGTATGTGTTCTGTGCTATTGCTTTAGAAGTAGTAGTAGATATATAAATATAGAGTTGTTCATATAGGCAGTATCTTGGAGTTGCTATAGGCAATATTTTAGAAATAAAGAATCGAAGTCTATTTAGCTTAGTGCTTTTATTAGATTAGCTACTAGATATATAGTTTGAGTTTGTTAAAGATCTTTTAGAGTATATATATTAGAGTTGAAGAAGAAAGAGTTTGGCATTAAACAAGAGATTTTGGTCTTATATCTTACAATACTTGTATATTGCTTTATGATATATATGAGTTGAGTTGGAGTAAGATAAGCACTATTTAGCCCAGTATTGTATACAGGACATGTCCCACTAATTTTATAGGGACATAAATGTCTGGGACAATGTCCCATGTCCTATGTCCCATGTCTCAAATAATGTTCCAATATAGTATTGGTTACAGGATACTGTTTTTTTGTCCCAGACAATGTCTGAGACATTATTGTCCAAGACAATGTTTGAGACAATGTCCCATATCCTATGTCACATTAGAGTATTCGATATACAATGTAAATCAAAACTACGTAGAAAAGCTAATATTAATTATGAAATTTTTTAAGTGATAATCAATTGATCATACCGATATGCTTTTATACATATAAACTTGGTCACACTTTTTTAGATACACAGGTTGCATCTTTCTTTTTTTACCAGCACTTTTAATATGAATTGTTTATTAATTGTTGTGAATTATAATAAAACTAGATTAAAATGAAATAAAGGCTTCTATTTAACTCTCTAAAACCTACTTAAACTTGTTTATAATAAACACTATCCTAAAACTAACCTCTAACCCTAACCACTAACCCTAAAAAATGCACCTCAAAAATTTTTATTTTTCAGTGGCTTGTTTATTTTTTATATTGTATAATATTTTATTTTGATTCACTTTTATTTTAATCTGTTATATTAATTACAGTAAAGCTATAAAAGCTTTTTTTACATTACCTATATGATGTTTTTTTTTTTTGAACTATCTTAATTTGGTTGGCGAGACAAACATTTAAATTTATTTTAAAGTTTTTGTCGAATAGAAAATAAATTTTATTCTATAGTTGATTTTTTCAAAGTTTTACTTTGGAATTATGTGCTGTTAAGACTTTATATCTTATTAAATCAAAGAAAAATAGGTATTTATATATCAAATAAATGCTGATTTTATTTAATAAATGCACAGCTTAGAAAAAAAACAAAAATGACTTAATGAAAGTGTTTCTACTATGAAAAAGCATTAATGATGATACCATACATATTTTTGATTTATATAGATTGTTACGTTACATTTTATTTATTTTAAAACCAGATTTTTCAAGTAAAAAGTTAATTAAATTTATAGATCTTCTATGATCTTCTATCCTTGTTACATACACAATAGCACTATTATCTTTTTTACTAAATAATTACATTATAAAAACAAACATTAAAATTAATACGAGTAATTTTAAAATGCATTGTAAATCATATATCGATGCTTTAAGAGAAGAGGAAAGAAAAAAGTTTATTTTCCAAATAAAAAAGACTGTATTATTCAACACTTAAAAAAATGCAACCATTTTTTTACAAATACTATAGCTGAACAAAGAACTGAAATTTTTGATCTACTTTTAGATCATAATACTACAGTTTCAAATAAAAGATTATGTATATTTTTAATATTTATAATTTTAATTTTTTTTTTTTTTTTATATAATTGTTTATTAACAAATATTATTTAGATTCAACAAGTTATTTGTTAATTATATCATAATTATCAAGCTCATCTCAGCTAAAGTATCGTAAAACCTTAATTCAATCGACTGAATATAGACTAACAGATAATTTTATTGTTCAACTATTATTAAAAGAAGATTATAATCAGTTTTATTAACATTTACTTCATATGACTATTTTTTGTGGTTAGTCATTATCATGGGTTACTAATCCAGAAGCAATAGAATGTTTAAGTTTTTAAATCCTTTTCTTAAACTTTCTGATCATTGTAATCTTGGTAATCAAGTTTTAAACAAAGCCATAGATAGTATTGAAAAATCAATAGAGATTATGCTAAAAGAAGATCTAGTAGGAGTTACTTTAATATTTGATGGTTAGACGAATGTAAAAAATGAACATCTTTTAGGAACAATTTTATTAAATTCTAATGGAAAACCACACGTTTGAAAAGTTTTTGATATAAGCTCAGAACGAGAAAATCATGCTGAAGTTATAAAGAAAACAGAACTTATGATGCATGAATTAAGAGAAAATAATATTATACTATGTGCAGTTGTTACAGACAGCACTGGAGCTTATGCAGCAGCTAGATACTTATTTATTTATTATTAAAAAATAAACTTTATTTGCTAATATATTATTTAAATAGATATAAATTGAGAATTTCTTACAAATCAGTAGTTTTTTTACCATGCTTCGCTCATCAATTAAATCTTTGTGTTGGTGAAATTTTTAAAGAATCTACTCAATTTAAAACAACTATTGACCATGCAATCAAATTAACTAACTATTTTCAAAATGCAAATAATTAATTTTTTATTGGACAACTACGAGATATACAATATAATATATATAAAAAAATTTATTCAGTAGCTGCACTAGGAGAAACAAGATGGAATAGTTTTTTTTATATATGTACAAGTCTTATAAGAACTCAAAAAGCATTAGAGGTTAGTAAATTTATAAATTTATAAATTTAAATTAATTACTTATTATAAGCTTATATTTTTAGATTTTGGCAATTAAGTTTAAACTACCATTTACTGAAATTTAACGACGTACAGGAGATAATTTTATCCAATATGAAATTTATGAAATTATTAGTTTAGATATATTTTGGAACAATATAAGACAAATCATCAAAATTTTAACACTATACTGTACTTTACTCAATAATCTTCAATATAACAAAGTTTGTTTATTTCAGGTTGTATATAGTATAGGATATTTAGTACAATTTTGGTCTAATTATTATGATACTTCTCTTGCATTATGATTAATCAAAAGATTAGAACATTGATAGAATGAGTAGGAGCAACCACTCTTATTACTTTCTTTAATTTTACATTCTGAATACTATATAAAACAATTTCAACACATAGTATCTAATGTTAGCTATACTATATTTGAGAAATGGCTTATATATTATTACTGTGTATGGTTTAAAAAAGAATCTAAATGTATTCTTTAAGAATTTGATAATTACTGATTAGAAAAATATCCTTTTGATTATAACACATTTTAGTAATTTAAAGATGATATATTATCATACTGAAGTTACACTGCAGATTCAACAAATGAATTAGAAATTGTAGCTTGTAGAATTTTTAGTATTTGTACAAATACAGCATCTGTTAAAAGACTCTGGAGTTGTATAGGATTTATATAAAATAATCGAAGAAGTTGATTAAAGGTTTGAACTATTTAATTTATAAATATTTATAATTTTTACTATATACTATATTTATCTTTTTTTATAATTAGACACCAAAAGTACTCAATATGAGTAAACTAAGAGCTGATATTACATACAAACATCGTCAACAACAAAATCTCAAGTTTCATACAAATTTGGAAGCTAATATGATACTAGATGTAGATAAAACAAGTTCTAACACTAATAATGAAGAAAATAATAGTGAAATAATAAATAAAAATGATTATGAAATGACAATTGAAAATAATAATCATAATGATAACGATGAAAATAATGAAGAGTATAATGAATTAGAAAAAGAAGAAATCTATGAAAAAAATAAAGAATTACTTATTTCTGAAGAGGATTTTGGAGAATATCTTCAAGGATGAGCTGAGTTATTAGAAGAAGAGCAAGACAATGAAGATCAAGTAAATATTGAAGATTTAGATGATATAGTTCATCCCACTTTAGATAAAGATACTAAATAGCAACTAGAAAACCTGTTTGTTACATTAGAGCTACTATTACAGTATTAGCTTAATTGGTAAGTGTTAAAATAATATTAATTAAAATTAGTAACAGTAATTAATTAGAAATAACTTCTAATGTATTTATTTACAAAGTAGCATTATTTTCTATAAAAATATCGTAATTCAGTATTTTTTTTTTTAACTTTTAGTCTGTTTATAAATATCTTCGCAGATATAAATTTACAAAAAAAATCTAATTTGTTTTAAGAATAGGCATTAATATATCAAAATAAGGTTTTATATATCATTAGCAAATAAATATAGATTGGACGAGCTTGTTTTTTTTCTGATTTGGTATATAAGTTCTTGCATTTTAGTTATATATACGTATGACAATGCTTTATTTTATTTATTAGTATGTTTGCTATATGATGACATATTTATAATAATATTTGATACTGAATAATTCTTTATCCTTTATTAAAAGTTAATTTACATATACTATTTATTTCCTACGCAGACAAAAATAAGCAATCGTCTGGGCTATTCCCTTAAAGTAGAAGACAAATATGTTATTCTTCGCTTAATATAATATCATTATAGGTTTTCAATTAGAATAATTTTCTTTTCACAGTACTAAGAGAATTGTAAAATCTTTTTAATAATTTACATGTAGTTATTAATTAAAAAAAAATTTTAATAAACCTTTACCCTTATTAATATGACATTGCTGTGCTAACCAAGAAAATTATAAAAGGCTTTTAATATCTTCATTATACTTTATTATATGTCAGAGAATTTTAAAGCCTTTGTTTAAACAATACTATTGCGACTAGAAAATAATAAGATTTACTAGTGCTAGATGAATAACAAGCATCACCAGAGAAAAAACAGGCATTACTGTAAAACTGGTTTTTTTAGTAATTATTGTATTGTCACATTATTACACTACATATATCATCTAACTTTAAATGAATTGGTAGTCATAAAAATGAATTGTCTAAGGATATGACATAAACTATATCTTTTATTCTACCTACAGTAAAAATAATCTGGAGAATGTGAAAATTAATAATCCAGAAGTCAGCAACGGGGTTCACTTTTGTTAGGTAATTCAGATAATTTGTATCTTTGCTAATAAGTATTAGTATTAAGCTTTTTTTTAAAAAAAAAACTTGTAAACAACAATACTTACTGTTAGTTTTTTTAATATTTTTTTTGAATATAGCTAAATCGAATAAGTTTTTAAAAGCTACAACATATAGATATAGAGTATGTAGAGTATATAGAGCATGCAAAGGATATGTACAATTATATATAGTTAATGTTCAGTTTTTTATACTGTTTATATTCTTCATGTGTGTGTATTACCTTATTGATAGTTAATAGTTTTTTTAAGTATAGTTAGTAAGTGATTTTGTTAATAAAGATTATTTATATATATTTAAGAAATTATTAGTTTAAAGATATTGTTTTTTTTTTTTTATTAAGCTTAATCAGATACACATTTGACAATAGCTGTCGAATTTACAGTTTAAATCTTTTTGTTTAATAATTTCTAAATTCTTTTTTATTTCGAACTCTTTTTATTAGCTAATTAGAGTTTGAACGTCATCAAATAATCTACAAACATTAGCTAATAAGAATAAAAGCCTGCTATGCTATTCTGAGACATATGTCTTAGACCTAGAAATCTAGGAACAATTGTCCTGAACTGTCCCAGACATTATGTCTCTATCCCATGTCCTATCCCATGTACAATACTACCACACAATAGTACAAAGAAATTAAAAAACTACTCACAAACAACATACTAATAAACAACTCTCAACAAACAGATAACCTCATATATCTAAACCCTTTTACAGTTACAGACACTACTAACACAACCTACAAATGGATCCTAACATACATCAACTCCCAAATAATAATAGGGAAAATTACCAGCAAAAATAACAACTTAATCAAAATATCTTACTGGAACCTATTTAATAATGACAACAACCTACTAACACAATGCCAATACTGTATTAACACTACTAATACTTACTACAACAAATGTAGTATTACAATCTCAAAGAGCATGCCATACCAATTCAGGTTACCAAACAAAACTACATGAGAACAGACATCACAGACCTACTTACTTATCATCCACTTTTCAACACTAATACCACCAATAATCTTACTATACAACTAAATACTTCTACATTAAATATCACTACTGACCTTTTTCTACCTAGAATAGCAACTCAATAATTAAAAATAATACAAGCTACTAACTCAAAAAAGCATAGTATAACTAGCTTATCTTAGCATCCAAATACAGAATACTAATACAATAGAACAAACTGCAAACTTCATATAGCATATCCCACTCACAAATACAACTTTTTATACACAACTCACAACATAGCCTTCCATAAACTACGCAATCTGTGCTGGAATCCTCTTAATTATTTCAATCACATCACCTACTACTAACATTACTATCTATCTCAAAAACCTAACATTTATTACTACCTTTAACTCACTCTACCAGCAATTTGAACACAAACCCCAATACAAACTAAAGATACATATGTAGCCTCTCTGGCAACAATTATTTATTACTATTAACTATCTACAACTCAATATTAACTTAAAAACTTTAACACAAGATACTATAGCTAACTCTATATCTTTCAAATCTAACTTTAGCTCTACCTTCTTGCCAATAACAATATAATATACACGAAATTTAAATTCTTTTCACCTTTACTAGCAACATCATGTAATAGAGTATAGCTTTTGACACTTTATACATTATCTAAATAATGCTACATATATAGCACAATGGTACTCCTCAAACAGAGTACAGCTTTGGACAAACACTAAAACTACTATAGACTAGAAAGCTACATATACCTTTATCAACTACAACTGCATTCCAACTATAAGATTTACTCATCCTATTTACTCATATATAAAAGCCTTCAAGCTTAAATTCTTTCTTAACAAACTTCCAGTACAACAAAACTTATATATCTGCAACCTATCTGAATATATCTCAGATCTATATACAAGATGCTAAACAAATACTGAAGATAACTTATACTAGCTTATCTGTTCAACAAACACATACTTATTACGTACTATAATCACAACTAACTGTACAAAATTTATATCAAAATACTCTAATAACCTTATATCTAATACAATAGCTACCCAAAACATAATTGATATATTATATAATATTAACTCTAATATACCCAATCTAAATATCCTACAAAGCCTAATTCCAACAACACTATCAAACTTTCTAAAATCTACAACAGATAATACAAAAAAAGATCCTGCTACAACATTACTACATAAAATTACTAAATCTATCTATAACAACCTCTGAACTTCCAGATGCATGAATCTACAATGAACTTTCCCAACTATACCCACAAATACCAATACAAGAAACAACATAATTAATTCCTCTCTAGCTACAACAACTAACAACAACTCACAGAAATCTACTCCAAACACTATAACTCCAATACTACTTGCAAATAAAAAACTCACTACATGATCAAACCTTTTCTTTTATAACAATATCTCTTCTAACCACATAGCAAATTTAGTAATCTAGAGAAAGTCCTGTATGCCCACTCTAGTAGAGTATAGGCTGTAGGGTAAACTAGCCCTAGCTCAAGTTAAAGTAATAGAGTAAATGTAATACATGTAAAAATGCTATATATATTTTGAACTATTCAATAAAAACTAAAGCTAGGCCTACTCTTTAACAAAAAAAAAAAAAATATATATATATATATTTTGTTTTAATTTTAGGTATTTGATCTAAAAATGAGTCAGAAGTATGATATTTAGGACCAGCTAGCCAAATAAGAGTTAGTAAAAATTATTAAAAAATAAAAGTTATTATGAATAAAAATTTCTCTTACATTTTTTATTTTTTTTTTACTAATAAGAATATAAGTTCTATTTATATAAAATTAGTAAAATATATACTCTTTAATAAATATTATTTTAGGATTTGTTTTTGTTATATGTTCTGTTAATATTATTGTCTGAAGTTCTTCAATATATTCAATTTGTAACTTATATATGTAATTATTATTGTTATTTACAGAACTTTTATATAATTTCCATTTATCTATTATAGTAAGATATTTTTCAAACTTCTCTATTTTAAAATCATTACTAAATTTTATATAATTTATTATTTGTTGTGATTCTTGATTTTTTTTATAGAATTTATTAATTTTAACATAGTTTCTAAAACTAATCATATTGTTTTCAAATAATATATAATTTAGAAATTTCAGATGAAGAATAAAATCAAAATTATTTATAATAAAAAATAAATATAAATATGACTTTAAATAAAAAAATAATTAAATTTTAAAGATGAAAAAAATATATCCTATAACAAGATATTATATACAACAAAATAAAAATCAATATTTGATAATGAAATTTTAGAATTAAAAAATAAAATTTCAAAAGAAAAGTTTACTGAAGAAATAATCAAACTAATTAATGAAAGAAATTTTAATAAAAAATGTAATTTTATAAAATTTATGATTTTGATTTTTTGATATCATTTAGTATAGTGATAAGACCTGTTGAGTTTTTAGTTATTAATAATAAAACACTAATAATTTGTTAATAATAGTTATTAACAATTAATAATTTTAGTAATTGTTAAAAACTATCATATTGTAAAATTATACTTTAGAATTGTTACATCCCTTTTATTATATTATTTATTATCTAATATAATAAATAATATAATAAAAGAAATGCAACAATTACTAATCATTTAAATGCAAATATAAGAATATTAATGTTAATGATGTAATTATTCATTATTATACTATAAAGCTAATTGCAAAATATGTACATATTAATTTTTCATTTGGCTA